CTTTACAGTTTACTGCTGGACTATGAGCCTCCTCCACTATAGTGGAGGGTTTTGCCATAATCTCCACGCTTGGCAGGCGGGTTGGAGATCGCAGTTTAAAAGATTGATGTTTTTCAGAGAGCGCTGCTGCCCATTCTCTGTTTGATGTGTAGTCCCTAAGTCGCCTCTTACGACACCCGCGGGATGAGTAGGGGTTGATGACAAATGTATTCTACTCTGCCGTCACCACACGGCTAGACGTCACCTTATATTACAAGGAGGCTTATGCCCGTTTTCACCATCAATCCCTAATTTTTAAGTGACCCCTATGAAAACAAAATGCTTGTTATGTCATACCATAGGGGTCACTTAAAACTTAGGGATTGATGGTGAAAACGGACATTAGGCTGGGTTGCACCATCTTACTTTAACTTTGACAAAGGTCAAAAATCTGTCAAATTCTATTAAAGGTACGTAAAAAAGTCATAAAACTCATTTATTTCTGTAAATAGGCTTTAAAAAAGCACTTTTACATGTCCCAGTATTAACCCTACCACTGCTTCAGGACAAGAAATGGACCAGTGCTGACAAGAAGCAGCGCAAGAAACTCAGACACTATGGTTTAATATGGTCAAAGTTATGTGGTGGTGGTTAGGTGGTGCAACTCAGCCTTAATATGATATAAATTATACATTTATGTCTAAATTGTATATATTTTGTGTACAGTCGCGGAATGAAAAGGTTCGTCAGTTTTCAAATTGATTCCTTCAACGAATCGCGAGCACATATTACCTTTTGAAACTATGTTACAGAATAATCTCGAGTTAGAGAAAATAATCTTTAACTGTTCGTCAGTAAAGTTCAAAATTATTCAGATCAAAGTTGTTTGACGATTTATCTTGTCAAGAAGATTATTATGATTGATAAACTAAAACCTTCTTGTTGGTTCAACCTGCCATTATTATTTCTATTCAATAAAAAAACTATTGTCAATTGGTCAATGTCATTATTGCATTGCACTGATGGGATAGAAAAATAAACAAGCAAAACCTTATTCGTTAGCAAACGTCATATTTATTTCAATGTTAGCAGCACTGTTTCTTGCACTGTTATGTTGGCAGGTTTGACTCTTACAGTACCTTGTGCAAGCGAAAACCGACACTAAGGTGACGAACCTTTTCATTCCGCGACTGTACTATCTTAATAGCTAAATCGTATTCGATTTATGTAAATAACATTTTACATTGGACTAGTTGTAGTCTAATAGATAGTGTGCTAAGTTTTGTTTCACATTAAACGTCAGTAACTTTATAAATATCAAGTAGAACTGAATTTTATTTCACACATTTTCAAATAGAGTTCACAATCCAATATCACTAAAGTGCAAAGAATACTTTTATCTGTCCTCCCACATCGAGTTAACTCTAGATAACATCGATATCGATAACGATTGCAACGAGACACGACACTTGTCGCAAATGAACTGTACAGTCCCCCACAATAGTTTTAACTCAAATTGTGCCATAAATGTAGAGCTATACGGGATAGGTTTAACATTTGAGGCATGCTGTATAGTCATCAATGTCGATCAGGTCCATCCATCCTAGTTGTTGCTAAATGGCTTTACATTTATTTTTGAGCGGACGTGAGCGACGCGACACAACCTTACTCTTACGTGTTCCGTCGACTTATTTTAAAAGCAAAATTGAATAAAACTGTCCACGCATTTCAAATTCTTTACTTGCAGTCAGTTGAAGACGCTTAGTGACATAGAAATTATTGTGATATTTATTATCTTCTTTAGATCTTTTGATTTTTCCTGAAAACTGAAAAGGAATTGAGTATGTAACCCTCGACATCAACCATAAAATGGTACTTACTTCTTGCTACGAGTAAAAGGTAGCAGGTGCGTAATTTTCCCGAATAATGTGGTAACTGGTAACTTACAGCATGTTGAAAGTTGCAAAAATATACATATACCTACAGTATATTTTTATTTATTTTTTTCAGTAGGTAAATCTTTTCAACTAATATCATTGTAATTTAATCAAACACCTAGTTAAAAAAATCACTAAACTATTGTAAAATGTATTATCATAATAGTGTAATGAAATCTGTAACATAAATATGCATGGGACCTGTGAGAACTTCTCCTGACCTTATTTGCTAAACGCTGCGAGTGATAACTGTTAATTTATTCGCAGCAATCCGCGAGTCCAACTGCCCCGCAGTCATATTCTTGGTAGGGCTAGCTGCTATGAATGTAGTTTAACAAAACGAACCATTGCAATTTAATAAATGTACAATAAGTACATACAGTGCCATCTTATTAATACATTATCATTCGTCGCTAGTGAACAACAGTGGTTTTAAGTTGGCACCCAACGTGGTGGTAAATCAAATTCACATTGTAGAGCAATAGCCAATAAGAGTTATTTTTTATTTGTTACAGATTTAATGTCTTACACTGGGTTCCAGTACACAACTTGATTTGACACTATGTCTGTTTTCTCCGGGAATCGAAGCCAGAACCCCCGAGTTGAGAGAGTCCAACTTCTAACCACTTAACTGATACGTTTTCTCAAGAGAATGAGAATATAACTAAATAATAATAACAAATAAACCAACCACTTAGGTTGTTTTTAAATAAATGTTATTGTTCATTAAAAGTAAGAGTTAGCATGATATACCTTTGCATAAATAAATAATATGGATGATCTTTCGATGACGTTTGACATAAAGATAAATGTTGCGTTTGATACCGTTTCAATTAATTCTCAACATTACCCGCAGCAACCCTATCGCCTCAGGCGTTACGTTGCGTGCGTATGTCACTTCCCTCCGAGTGACGCGTCCGGCTGCGCCCGCGCACCCGACGCACGATGATCGGCCGCGAACGAACATTCGCATACATCATGCGAACGCACTTACCCGCTCATCTGCATTTAACAAATTCGCGCTAACAAGCTGTATCAATTTGAATACTGATCATTCGGTTTGAAAGGTGCAAGGAAGCAGTAGGTAGGTATTTAAACACTCATCTATAAATAATAGTACGCCTATGTTATGTAAATATGTTCGTAGTTATTGCATTTATGAATAACAAATTGTTATCCTATTGAAAATTTATTTTTTTTTGTAGTTAAATATTGATTGGCTTACAAAATAATGGCATTTTGTGATACAAACAAAAAAGGTGTAAATTAACCTAAGCACTCAGGTATTTTTGAAAAAAAACATAATGGTGACAATTTTCTATCACATGGCTAATAATGTCAGATTTTTTGCCGCTATAAGCGTCTGACATGGCACTATCGAGCATACTACTGCTATAGTTATCAATTTTGAGAGATATCTATTTTGAAATAATCTAAAACATTCCACATTTATTGTATCACATTAGGTATCTCTGTGAATAAATAATCTCTGAATCTTTAAAACCGCTTAAATTGTGTGGGGATTGTTCAAGCAAAGGTGCTGTATACCGTATTTCTCCTCTTAACCGTGACGTAGACTTAATTGCCCAGAATAATTAATCAGTTAATTACCTGTGTTCTAGTACTAATATATTCATATCGTAAGCACATATTAATAACTAACTCTTTTTCATGTGTATACTTAACAGTTACAATGTCCATCGTCAAGGTTCAGAGCAGAGTTAGTACGGACAATTTCAATATTAATGAGCCGGGATCATTAATTGTCCTATACAACGTCTGTTTAATTAATCCTGATTGACGACGTCTGCATCAGTCACCATTGAGAGCGCGTCGGGCTTGGGAGGTCACGTTGGCCGCGACAATGCTACTGAAATTGTGACTGCCACTACATACTCGTACATCTAGGTACCTTCTAGTATTTGTTAAGACAATCTTTGGTAGTGGTTTTAAGCATTATGTATGAGTAAAAATAAATATTGTTGGTACACACTATCCGTACTGTCAATTTTACTGTAATTGTATTTTAGACTAATAAAGCCTAGATAGATAATAATAATAAGCGAAAGAAAAGTGATGCACTTGAAAGTAACAAATCCGACAAATTGTATTTTTTTAATTAAATGTTTTAATAAAGTTTTTTAATAATAACTTTTTGACTGTAATGACGTAAGACTTTTGCCTCACTTTAGACAAAGCGCTTGTATGGAGATTCATTATTTATTTTATTATAATTAATTATTTTACTAGTACCCATAGTACAAGCTTTGCTTAGTTTGGGACTAGAAGCGCAGTGTAAAATCTCCAAGGATATTTATTTATTATTATTTATTTATTTCATTCAAGGGAAGAACTTGAGGATTTAGCTACATAATGTACGAGTAACATTTCGTTTTCATAATATCGCTTAAATTGTTTTGTAACGCTCTCTTTTCTTGAATCGAAATCAATAATCACTTTCATAAGGATGTAAAGATGTTGCTATTTTTAAAGATTCCCATATGCACCTCCCATAACTCAATGAACTAATAAAATATAAACTTATTTTCAATTTCCCACTGTATTTCATTAGCAGTAGTGTCGAAGGTTGGTTGAGTGTCGCCGCAGAGCTGGGGTTTCAAAGCGGCATGTGCCTCCCGTTATGCAATGCCCTTGGAAATCCCAAACATGCTGGCGACCGCTGGCTCCGTCGTCGCCAAGAAGGATACGGAACATTTATAATGTATTTTGTTTACTTATTTTGTGCACCTATTTCTGTGTTTATTTTAAGATCTAAGAAACATTTCAATTCTGTATTTGACGAGTAGAATCACTCTGCAGGACGGGCTTTTTTTCCAAGCTTGACTTCATTTCGCATGCTCTATGATTTTTGTAACCTCTACTATTTTGTATATGCATACTGTTTTATGATTTTTATCGGATTTATTGTTTGTACTTATTATTTGTTAATTTACTTGGAAATGTGTACAAGAGAAACAGGTGCCCTATATTATAGACCGTATGGATGGACAGTAATACAGTTCGGTCCTATAAAATTTTCTTTTTATGCTTTTGAGGGTGGACCGTAAAAATTAAACCACAAAATGATGTCAACATTCATTTATTCTACGCTTAATCCCAACTGTCGCTCTCTTTGAAAGCAGACACTGTTTTGGTTTTCGCTGTAATGTCGAATTGCTCTATGGGTTTTTTTGTCTCTTTCTGTTTCACTTTCTCTTTATGCCTATCCTTGTCTCCGTCGGCGAGGTCCGTCTTCCGGCGACCGTTGGAGACCGCTTCCGATTTCTTTTGAGAACCGTCTGAGTTAGGCCTCACTTCCGGTTTCTTTTGGGAACCGTCTGAGTTAGACCTCATTATTTCGGCCTTCTTCGGGGGTGGTTCCGCATCATCGACCTGTGAATAGTGAGTTATTACTTAATGAGGGTTTTCGCGAATGAAAAATCCGCTAGATGGCAATACGTAGACGCGAGGTCCAAATGCTGCATGATTGGTTATTTTTGACATGACATTGACAGATATATCAAAATCCACCAATCACGCAACAGTCAGACCCCACATCCACGTCCCGCCATCTAGCGGATCTTTCATTCGCGAAAACCCTCATTGGTATATAATATTGTGATAAAAAAAATGGTCAATTCGAACCTATATTACACTTATTTTGATAACAGTTATAGGTGATGCATTCAATTCAATATCTATTTTGAAAGAACAACAAAACTTTTTGCCGACATCATAATGATATAACCTACCCCTACAAAGTAACATGCGATTCTGCTTCTAATCCTGATTTTGTCTCAATTCCAGATTCCCGTGGATTTCTCTCAAGAGACAATGGGCCGCACTCAGTGTAGTTTTCATGCAAGAAGTTTAACAACAAGGTGTAATCTGAGGCTCATACATAAGGTGTGCGGTAGTGTGTGTAAAGTGCATTAGCATAGCAGATCAACGAGTTAGAATTTTCCAATCACCAGCATCGCTGTAAGAGGCCTAGATAGGCTGCTTGCTTTCTTGGGGGATCTGCCCCCTAGACAAAATGCACTTTTTGATCGAATCGAAAATCAAGTCCGTCAAAACTCAATACAAAAAGGCTTTACGACCACTTTTCGACTGGTTTGCGATTATAATGTGCACTTTGTCTACCACCTTGGTTGGTTGGAGTTCCTACTCCACAAATCAAATCAAATCGCGCACAATAGCCCAAACATGAGGCTAAGTGCGACTTTGATTGCCCTGGAAAACTAATTAAGGTGTGACACTACTAACTTTTGAATACTTCAGCCATAGTTTGGCTATTTTTCCTTTTTTTTATCCACAACGAAGTAGGTCTTGGCCTGTACCTGACCTGATGGTAAGTGATGATCAAGCCGAAGGTGGAAGCGAGCTTCACCCGGAATCCTCAACCGCGGAGGAACTGGCTATCTTACCTCTAACTGCCGGAACACAACAATGCTGTTATGGCGACAGACTTAGGCAAGATGGTGGTAGCTAGCCAGGCGGACTTAAAACAAGCCCTACCACCAACCAAACCGAACAGAAAAATCTGCCCCCACTGGGAATCAAACCCGGGACCTCTGCGTCTGAAGCAGGTGGTCTTACCACTAGACCATAGAGGCGGTTAAACGATTCTGTTATACTACCTACCTGGAATACTCCAGAAGAAGTTCTCTTCCTTGTGGGCTGCGTAGGCGGAGTGGACGTAGGCGAAGACACGCTGCTTGACCGCACTCTGCTCTGCTTGACAGGCGAATTGGCCACTTGCGGTAGCAGTGGCGGTTGCGACTGCGGTTGCGGTGATGGCTGCGGTTGTGGTGAGTTGACCACTTTTTTGTTCACGCCTGTGGGAGAAAAATTGAGGAAAAATATAGGCGTGACGTAGTTTTACCCTTCATTAAAATGTCTGATGTTAAAGTCAGCCAAATTCCAAACTGCTAAAGGAGAAGATCCCAAGTGGGTATCATTTTACAATAGAAGCTTTAGAGTAGGCGCACACCGTTGATTTTTAGTTGGCCGATAGTTGTGCCCGATTTTAAATTGTATGAAGAATCGGCCAAATCGAATCGGCGTAGTCTGCGCACTCCCATACATGCCCATACTGATCAACTGCCCGACTAAACTAACGGCCGACGAAAAATCAACGGTGTGCGCCTACTCTTAATGTAATCCATAAATGCTGTTAATTAATAAAGCTATGTACAATAATAAAACTTTTGTGTATATGAAACTTACTTTGACGAACTTTTTTGTCTGGCGTAGGTCTGGAACAATTAAAAAATAAATTATTAAACATACAGTAAATAAAGTCAATCCAATCTACTATGAGAAGATAAATAATTTTAGTAACTTGATAATGAAAATTAAAACAAGAAATAAACTTCTAGGGACCACGTTTCCTCAGCAGTGGTAATTAATCAAACAATTCAACCGCAATTTATCGCAAACTCTACATTTAATCGTTCATTAGTAAATGCTTCTTTCTAGAGCTCGATTTCCTCTCGAGATAAATCGAATCGAGTGCGATTTTTAAATCGAGTCCATCGTTGCATTCAATGCAAAGGCCGAGCTCATGTGTTGGAGTTAATTGGGAGCGGAACGAATACGCTAATTGTGTCAACACTAACGCCGGGACACGCGTCTGGAACTCTTAGTTCTCACTAATTTACCATGCAATGATTGTGTCTATGGTAATTTTTTGTGGCTTTAGCCTAGGCGCAGACCACCGATTTTTAGTTGGTCGATAGTTGGGTCGGGCTGTTAATCAGTATGGAGATGTATGAAAGTGCGCACATAACACCGATCCCAACTATCGGCCAACTAAAAGTCGGTGGTCAGCGCCTAGGCTTAAGGCTGGTGTAAGGATACAGTCAGCGTCAAATAGTGCGTGACACCCAAATTAGCCAAAAAGTTCGCAACACGTCTTTGTTACAATAAAATTGTAATAAGGTTGCGTTGTAAATTTTTTGGCCGCTTCGGGTGTCAAGAACTATTTAGCTGACTGTACAGTACAATGATTCCTATTGCGCAACGTAGCAGTGTAAAATATAAAAACTCGTATCCTGAAACAACGCTGATAACTCGATAGAAGCTCCTAAAAGTAGAACAACTGGCACCTGTGAGATTGTAGATTATACATGAGCGCCTTTCCATCAAAGGTAAATCATGAATATCATCTTCCAATATTTTGCTTTAGTTGACTGAAACGCTTCAATAATTCCGCCAGTGCCTAGAGACCACAATTTATTATTTACTAGCTGACCCGGCGAACTTTGTTCCGCCTTAATGGCAATAAATAAGCAGACTTTTTTTTATTTCGAACGGGTTAAAAAGTATCCTATGTCCTTCTCCTGGCTCTAAACTACCTTCCTGACAAATTTCAGCTAAATCGGTTCAGCCGTTCTTGAGTTATAAGTGAAGTAACTAACACGACTTTATTTTATATATGTCACCGTGAAATTGTGAATTCTGTCAGAATATAATCTGACGTAGTTAAATTACAATCTAACCTAACCTAACCCACTGTTAGTTTACAATTTAACGCGTTATATTATAAACTGACAGAGTTCACAATTTCACGTTGACATATATATAGATTACATACAAATGATCAACTATCAAAAACTCCTGACACTCACAAGATAATTTCAATAAAGCTACTGTAACTGCACTTAATCCAGTACGAGTTCATCCCTAGAAAAAATCAATAGGCCTATTATCCGTTATACTGGTTTTATTTTAAGAAAATCGAAGCGCCATCGCATTCACCTGTCTTGGCTGCGCACGCCGCGAGCCAAATCACTGCCGACACTCACGAGCGCATTTTTGCCGCCCATTTTAACCCTTTAACTGGTATAGAGAAAAATATCTTTCATTTGTTTTGAACCTTATGTCAGCTCACTAAAGTTCAGCATATGGTGGTATACATATTGCCACCTCCAAAAGCCTTAAAGCGCATCGGTTGAAATACGACTTAGGCGCTAGAATGCATCGGTTTATTCATTAGATAGATTTACACAAATTATTTCAAAGGGACGGATTCTTAAGGGGTCATTCGGAAAACACCGATTTCAAAAAAGTATGTTAGAAGAAACTCAATGTTTAAGACAAGGAAAAATCCGAAAAATCGGCTTACCAAAATACCTGTATGGTGCTTTAAAAAAATTTAATAGAAAAATGAAAAAACAACCTAATTACGACATAGATACGAAGTATATTGTACGATTGGATCGACCTTTAAGCGATATCAACATCGATAAATTAAGTTAATTATCCGACCCATGATTACGACCTGCGTGTAAGTCTCATCTCTAAGCTTTTAAAGTACCTATATCACAACTTATTCCGCAGAACCTTCCAGAACATCGTAGAAAAATGACGGCGCTGATCAAACCTGCATTAAGGAACTGTATAAACGTTTATTACGAATCCTCATAAGCCTGGAGCCATTTATCAAACGCACCGCCGTAAAAGGCGCGCGGCGCGACCGCCCGATGACACCCGCGTCAACTTTTGATTGACTTGTAACTTTCTAGTTTTTGCCGGTCACATCGTTAATAAGCTATATTCCCGCAGTTATTGAGGCTGGCAGTTACTTCAACTTAGTTGAAGCTGTTTTGTGACAAACACTACGCTAGCAGCCTCGGCGGAAGATCATAATAGCCGATCGTTAATGCCAGCTGACGACTTTAATCATTCACTTAAAGGTACAGACAAAATTATCGATATTACTTTACCTAATTAGGATTGAATCGATATTCAATACAATAATACAAAAAAAGACGTTAAATTGAGAGTTTACTAACAGTACTTTCATCTAAGATTATGAGTACCTCGCGAAGTTGCGTTGTTATTCCGCCGCTTGTCTATTTTATTCATTAAAACGTTTCATCAGTTGTCCAACAAGTCAAAACTTTCACTCTTTATCCGTAATGGTATAAATCTGTACGAAACACCACCGGGCTAGGCATTGTATTAGACCTCACAACAAACGCCCGCACCTAATTACCGCAAACGATACCAGCTCCCGACTCTCTTTTGTTTTCTGATGAGCCCCTTCATCACACGATGACAACGATGTCAACTGTTGAGTGAGATCTTGAACGAAGAACTAACGAATTGAATAAGTCTGCCACCATCGTACCTATCAAGTATCATGCTTGTTATTACATGTGTACACTCCATGGTGTCGATATTGTTGGTTTGTACTTCGTATTTCTTTTCATAACTGAAATAAATTCTGAATTTCGTTATTAAAATAGGTAGTACAGTCACGGAATGAAAAGGTTCGTCAGTTTTCAAATTGAATCCTTCAACGAATCGCGAGCACATATTACCTTTTGAAACTATGTTACAGAATAATCTCGAGTTAGAAAAAATAATCTTTAACTGTTCGTCAGTAAAGTTCAAAATATTCAGATCAAAGTTGTTTGACGATTTATCTTGTCAAGAAGATTATTATGATTGATAAACTAAAACCTTCTTGTTGGTTCAACCTGCCATTATTATTTCTATTAAATAAAAAAAACTATTGTCAATTGGTCAATGTCATCATTGCATTGCACTGATGGGATAGAAAAATAATCAAGCAAAACCTTATTCGTTAGCAAACGTCATATTTATTTAAATGTTAGCAGTGGGTCTAGACAAAGTGCAAATTATAATCGCAAAGCAGTCGAAAAGTGGTCGAAAAGCCCCTTTTTTGTATGGAGTTTTGACGGATTCGATTTTCGATTCGATCAAAAAGTGCGTTTTGTCTAGGGGGGCAGCACTGTTTCTTGCACTGTTATGTTGGCAGGTTTGACTCTTACAGTACCTAGTGCAAGCGAAAACCGACACTAAGGTGACGAACCTTTTCATTCCGCGACTGTACATAGTACCTGAATGTCAATAATGTCATCTACATTATACAACTAATCATTATTTTACCTTATCTCATAGGTAAACCATTTATCTGATTAAAAGGCATATTTTGTAACCCATTGGTATACATTTTACCGCCATATACACTACCTAGTTACATAACAACAAATAAAATCAAATTAGATAAGAATCATTGGTACTGAATAAGATAAGGATGAAAAGCCCAGACAATGTTGAACGTCTTCCAATCCAATTAAATATTTTATTGCTTTTCTCACATTGTATTTACAGATAAGTAATTAAAAAATATCTGTCTCGTATCATGTGCACCGTCCATCATAGCACTTGGAAGCATCTTCGCCGCGCAAATCACTTACGCCTGGGAATGTAGACGCCGGGACGTTCGCGTTCGCAATTTTTAGGGAGGACTGGGAATCGCTTATCGTTATCGACTTTCGAATTCGAATGTTAAATTTGAATTTTACAAAATTAAATGTCAAAGAAACAAGCCACGGAAATCCAAATTCAATCGGAATAGAAACCCCCGAAAAAAAGATACCTACATTTTTAATAAGAATTATTAGACTCGCGTTTCAATCAGTCAATAATTATTAGACTCGTGTTTCAATGAGCCAATACCGAGAAGTAAATTAAATGTAAGTAATGATCGCAAATTATACCTCACTCACAGTTTTCTACGGCAAAGTTCATAAAAAATTATCTAATAAAATTTCCACGCGCATCTCTCGTCTAAAATGGCGTTTAGTGTGGAAGTGTCATTTCAAAATAGTGTTTAAATGCGTGTATCATATTAATAATAACGGGGATTATGTTTTTCAATTAAATACAAGAACGGAATCGACTTGACTTACTACTTTGTAGATAAATTGTGCCCACATCACTGGCCTCATGAGAAGTTAACGCGATGGCTAACTAATCATCAAGGAGGCATGCGTTTAACCTGCGTTTAAGTGTAAATGAGCTCCACCATTTTAGGAGAAGCGAGATAATGAATCGGGTGTAATCGATTCGACAACAGCTCGGGACGTCCATTTTTTACGCGTTGGCATCGATAATTAAGCCATGAACGGTGAATATTAATCGATATACAACAGTAAAAACAAATAAGGCGTCAAACTGTGTAGGTACCTTACTTTGAAACACACGGTCCTTAGTAGTATCAAGCGATAAGAATCATATTAAGTATAAGTATAACAACATCATCTATTGTGGTTTGATAAATAAGTTGCTTGCTCATCACATAAGAAAAAGGGACATTAAGAAAATAAGTTCCCAATAAAGAGCCCACAATTTACGCAACTGCCATGTCTCATCCGAAAAATGTCCAAGGAATTTCCGAGCATTTTTCGTGATTTAACACAACAACGGGTACAAGCCAGGA